AACACATTGAAGTGTCCTCATACTTTCTGTCAAATTTTCATTGTATATTGCAACTTATTCTTGAACGATCTAACTGAATATCTAAGAAAATTGTTAGTTGAAATAGAGCTGTGCATTAAGATGCACAACGATAGAGTGAATGCCTTTCTTCACAACCCATTAGAACGATTCTACTTTAGAGCAGTCTCATTAGAGACAAACAAATGGAGATCTCCTTTCGAAATCGAATAATTTCTACTCACCTGAAGCTCACCATCAATACAGACGACAGCGGCGGCGTTATTAAATTGTCCAGCGTAGTTGGGTGCCGAAAAAATGGTGATTAACTTACGACCGACCATTAGCTCGTAACCGTCTTGTACTACCTGAAGAAACTTTTCGATGAATGAAATTTCGAATATGATTTCATCATCTCAACGTTTCCTTCAAATTATAGTATTCAATCCGTGCATCTTGTTGTTTCTTAGATTTTTCTCTTTTGTATGAAAGTAAAATTGCTCGATGGATTCATTGGCCATTCAGATGATTTTACATTTTCGATTCTATGTTCGCAAACAATTATTCGTGTAGTAACTGAAGTGACCAGCAATTGTGGCACTCCTACCAGTCGATGCACTCATTTTGTCTTCAAATAATCTCTAAAAAAATTACGACTGCAGCTAAACTAAGAATGNAATTCTCTTGAACAAACTATTCATCCATCTCATTTCTGAATCTACAACAACTTTGTAGTTGGAATGCATGTGCAATTGCTTTGGAGAATATATGAGAATGAGCGTACTGATGCAGAGATCAAGTAAGCTGAAAAGGAATGATTGATAGAATCCTGAAGTTAATAGAATTAATAGAAATTAATAGAATTAATAGAATCCATGATCCTGAAGAGGAACTCCTCAAATGAATCGAAATTTCAACGCTCAAATTTCAGCGATTGGTATTTGAGCTGATTGAGCTAATAGGCTGAGTGAGCTGATTGATTCTTATCGAATAACTCACAACTGGTTCACATGGTCGTTTAACTTGACGAATTAAATCCAACGAAGTGAGTTCGGGCGAGAGACCGCCGTGCATACAGAGAATACGTCTTGCGATCAGACCGGCCATTGGAAGTCGATTGAATACGGATATAAATTCCCACCATAGTCCTGGACTAAAGTTGACAATTCAGCATTGAGTGTTTCAAACACTCATCTGAGCAGATCAAAACTTCATTTTTATTCGATCAGTGCTTACGATTGGTTTTGAGCATACAACTTTGTTAAATAGTATTCTCTTATCACTAAACAGTATCTTCATCGCTCCTTCGCAACATACGTTCATCACAACTGAATGGCGGCCCCTATTCAGCTGCTCTTCAAATGAATCCAAATTTCAACACTCAACTCAGTGATTGGCATTTCAATCGAGCGAATTTTCGTTGCCTCATCATATTTGTCATTAGTAGAAAAGAACTTAAAACGCTGTTTTCACTGCACATAAAAAGATACTGCTTCAAACATGCTGCTTCGAACAGTTCAACTGGGTTCAGTGAAGTGGGGGATAAACTCGGATCTTTAGAACAAACCAATATCGAACTGAACACTCCGCATAAAATCCATAGATTCTATTAACGGCTGGTGTTTCGTGATTGCCGCGCAGAAGGAACACTCGATCTTTGTAACGAAGCTTCAACGCAAACAAATACAGCACGGTCTCAAGCGATTGATCTCCACGGTCCACGTAATCGCCAAGGAACAACATCTTCACCTCAGGTACACGTCCAATAATGTCGAATAACTTATGCATATCCTAAAATGCACTGCTTTCATTTCTGACGACTGACTGCTTTAAATTGCGGCGTGTCTTTTTGGAATGCTCACTCAATTTGAGCGTTGCAAGTTGGTTTCAGTTGAATACTTAATCAAACTAGCTGAACGTAGCCTCGTTAAGCTGTTGAATATTGAATACTGCATAAGAACCGAACAATAGAGCGGACTGATATGAGAAAGTGAGAAATTTGATGATGCTTTTTGACGACGATGATTTTATCGAATTATTACGCTTTGTCATGAGGAACTGAGATCTGTCATAGGCCTTTCGATGAGAAACTTAAAATCTAAATTCACTCGCAACACGAACTTTGATAAGTTATTNTACATCGACCTCAATCAAAGGCGCATCTTGCATAAGTGCAGCTGCTGTATACGCGAGTACCCGTAATATTTCGTCGTACGACATTACACTATTTATATTGCTTCCTTTCTAAACAACGCGCATATTTATGTTTAATTGAGATCAGTATAGCGAGAATTTTTGGATTCGGAATCGAAATTGTTCAACAAATTTAGCCATTTCAGTATTCTTTCATCTTTTCACGTTTGAAAAACTGAGCAAGTCATATTTCAATCAATCAATCAAGAACATTTCTTCGAGTCTGCGATAGATGATCAGTAAATAAGTGTTTCTCACATTAGTCACATCTTGTTGGCTCTTCGAGTAAATATGTTCGCTAAAGTTTCAGATGAAGAATAGTTATTGTAGCTGAGCACCGATGGAATTATACGAGCGAATTAGATGTTAAAAAAGAAATCAACAAAGTTTTCACAAGGATACGAACCTTATTGTAAAGACCACCGATTCTAGTTATAACCCCTTCGACCCATTTCAAATCAGCTTCAGACATCGCCATTTCTTATGCACTTATTCCTGATTATTGTTACGTTTCTTCACAAATGAATTAAGACACTTCACTAACTCTTCTCAATTAAATGGTTACCAACCAAAACGATCTCNTCTCGTCTTTCCGTAGTTATACCCAAATTCTGTGTGAACAACGTCCCTTGTTGTGAACCTAACCGCTCACCCACTCACCGTTATTTCAATAACGTACAATACTCTTTTTAGCAGTTCCCATTTTCTCCTTAACATTAATTTTCAAATTTTGAAACATTTATGAAAATTTTTTTGCATTTAAAATCAGTTTATGGAATATTAAAAAGAATTTATGCGAGCTGCTGTGTTATATGCAATGCAAATATGTATGACATGAGATATTTATTTTTCATTTTGTTCATGGAAATAGAGTATCGAGAGGTAATTCATAGGAGGAGTCTCTGCCTCATTCAGCACTTCGGATCAATGAATTTTTTATCGAAGTGAGAATGGAGTGTCGCGAAAAAGGATAAAGAGATATAGCGCATAACGGCATTAGTGTAGAGCGTGCTCGCTGACCTAAACCATGCGGTTAGCACGTGTTTATGAATGGCCTTTTGGCCATACCATGAACTCTGTGAACTGAGGGAAGCGTTTATGGTGTTATCGGTGTGTGGATTCGAGAAGAGCAGACGAGAGCACGTGAACTATGCGTGGGATATCAGCTGTTTGACCTGACTGAATGCTTTTTTGACCTTTATGGTCATTGTAATCTTTGTTAGCTTAGCCCTATCTTATCCTTTCTAACTGAACAGTTTCGCTGTCGTTATTATCAAGTACTGTCGTGTTTAATCCTTGCGGTTGCTCATATTCAATTCTCCTTTAAAAATAAAACTTTGTATTCAATTCGCGTTCGATTTGCTACAGAAATATTGTCTTATTTGATTAGCATTCGTATCGTTAAGTAAAAACTACCTGAGTGCGTTCGATTCGCTACATGGAGTAAACTGTGAAACTCGTTAAAGTTGATAACATTCATTTGTTGCTTTTCACATCTTTACATTTTTCTCCATTTTTACTCATTTTCCTGTTTATTTTGCCTGTATCGCAAGGCAGTTCCCTTATTGCAAGTAAAATCTGTCACTCAAAAAATTATCACAATTCCGCGAAAGGGCCACTTTCACCGAGTGGTTTTAAACTGAAGAAAATACGCTAATTGTGTCAATGCGGTACGTGTGTTTGAGCTGAATTACTGAAGATTACATATGCTGTTATCACATGAGCCATGATAAACATACATCTTCAAGGACTTCTCACAAACATCGACGAAAAGTGTAATCAGGCAATCTATCTCTTATCTGTAACACGTTCCTCAAGCTAGACGAAACACACATTTATTATTCATATCAGTGCTGCAGCCTTTAGCACTTCCGTTAAACCACTCAACACTTTTATTATGTCTACAATCCAGTATAAGTATTTGGGAGCCGTGTTAATATTCTGATTGTATCAGTATTATATGTGCATATTTGTTCGTTTAACTTGCATTTATCGATCTTATTTCGCATGTTTCCTACAATTCACCAACATCCGATCAAAACTACATGCTTAACTTTTGAAATGATTCAGTTCAGTTGTCACGAAAGACGCGATTAAAAGAGACAGACAAATAATTGATGGCTAATTTGCAAAGAGCGATCTACATGAACAACAATCATCGAGAATTTAAACAGTACACAACAGCAGGAACCAAATCTCGTAAACACCAGATAAATGTCCTCAAG